AGTTCAAACACTGCCTTCTTTGCGAGCTCAACATACCTATATGCTTTTAAGGTTGTCTAGAAAGTTCCAAAGCACTTTGTTTGAAACGTACTAAGGCCTGAAAAACATTATGCCACTGAATGATATTTATAATGAATTAAAATTGCAGGAACAACACTTCTGAACCAATGATTAACACAACATTTTAAACTTGCTGCCATTCTCTCAGTATGTGTCTTGGATATTACGGTCCAGATCTCTGATTTTGGCGACTCTCTTTGAGCTGAGATGTGCTCTTGATGATCAGCATTTATGCCTACAAGGGTAAAACAGTCATCCATGTGAGCAACCATCAACCAACCACGGAGCCTGTCTGCATGGTGCCCGCTTTTGGAGATGTAGACTGACTGTTTAAGTTGTCATAGTCCAGTGACATGATGACTGGAGGCGTAAGGGAACATGCCTGATGCCTAATAAGCCCAGCTTCTTGCTTCTGCATCTTAACTTCTGTTGAATAGAATCCAATTTCCATTTGTCTCCAGAGGAAGACACTGATTTGGTTCATTTAGTACCATAATGTATCCAAATCTATCCTATCCTGCCACCTTTAGCCTGAGGAGCTGTACAGTGATGATGTGGTGTTCCTCAGAGCATGATTCATGCCTCCTCTTCGCAGCTGTAACATCAGCCCATTAGCTGCTGCAAGGGACGATTAGCTTTTCTAAGGCAAACCCACAGAAACCTCTTTCCTGAGTTGGATTTTTATGTTTTCCACATCACCGCGCTAAGCGTCTGTGTTGGGCCTTTTCTAAGCAATATTGCACTGAACCCCGCTGTCAGGACTGACATGAGGGCCGAAAGGTGCACGCAGCATTCTCAACCCATAGCAGGAACTTGGCATGTGAATGTGCCACAGGTGGTGAAAGTGAAAACAAACCTGTCAGCTGAGGATACACAGCAAGCCAGCCAACAGTACAAACAGACAGCCAGTGCTATAAACACACTTGCACACGCACAGATGCACAAAGAGTTGGGAGCTGGGTTTTCTGCCAGTTTGTTTATAGGTTTCAGACGCAGCCCTGAAAAGTATAGACAACTCAGTCTAAAAATCTTTAGAATTTAATAAGCAGAATGCCAAATTTGCTGAGCAGAACATGATGGGACATTTTTCTTTGGTGGATACATCAATGGCTGCTGGCTGTGCAAGATGTAGTATTTGAATGCCAGACGATTTTACATTTCTTTTTCTGTTTTCCTGTCCTTTGTAATGAGGCACACTCTGACCATTAGCCAACAAATCTAAACTGTGGTTCTGTACCAAACACACTGCTGATTGACATGGTACGTTGCTTCACAAACATTCCCTGTGTTTGTTCATGGTTACACTGCTGTATGTGTGAAAATTTTGGGCAGTGATTAAGCCTTAGGGTTTAAATTGGAACTGAATTTAAATTAAAATACTTACAAGGTCGAACACAGTGAAAATCAGTTTGTATGGTGTTTTGTATGTCTTGAAAAACTTGGAGGTGTGAGAATTTGAAGACGTTTTCTACTGCCATTCCTCTAACCTGTCGCATCTAACAGTCTCCTAAAAAAGACAGTTTGGTGCGACAGGTTTGAGGAATGGCAGTAGTATTTTTTCAGTAGTAGAATTTTATTTCATATTAAGTATAATTTAGTGGCAGAAAATTTAGTACGCTTCAAACAAAGTGCTTTGTAGCATTCTAAAACAATCTTAAAACATGTATATGTTGAGCATGTAAAGGATGATATAAGGTCATATTAAACTGAGATCATACCAAATGCCCTAGGGTGAGAAAGCACATAAACAACAAGAGAACCTGCTGGAAGCTGAGGAAACGATGTAGAATATGTGCAGGCATAATCACTGGCTTGAATGTACCGGAACAAATGGGATTGGTATGTACTTAATGAGGGTATCATCAAAAGTGCCAAATGAATCTTCTGAGTATAAATCTCAGAAACAACCCTCCCGCTCTCTCTCTCTCTCTCTCTTGTTACGAAGTGAAAAAGTGAAAGCCTTATTCAGATTGGAGGAAGGAAACAATAGTTATTACTAATGGGGCTGCATGGTGTAGGGGCAGAAATTTTAAAATATTCACTAAATTGTTAACCAGATTTTCAAACAAGGGAGTGCAACTGGATTCTTAAGGAATTTGGTCCAACAAGAAGCCAGATGGGCAAAGACCAGAGCAACCAGAACCAGTGGGCAGGTAAAGGGATGCAAATTTTAAACAATTTTCTGAAATGATAGCATTGTCAACTCATAATTGAGTAATCATTAGCATGTTAGAAACTACAGTAAACTTTCTTTCAGGCATTGTCAGTTTCTTTTAACTATGGACACATGAGTTTCCCATCACAAATGCCTTAAAATGCCAGCCATCTGGCATTGGGAACATTGTGGTAATAGAGTACAGCTTTTCCTGAACACTGGAAGCAAGCCATTGATCACAAAAAAAGTCTCTGTCATGGTACCCCATTACTAGTGAAACCCACACAATGCTCTCTGTGCACCAACATGGAACTGCAACCGACTTCTCTGTTCACTGCTCCACAGGTAATATTTGAATAAATTTTTTTGGAAAGACATTGAAAAAGAAACAAGAGTCAAGACAGGGCATTTATTTTAATGAAAATGTTTCGTCCCATTGAAGAGGGACAAAAGAAAAGAGAGTTCAAGCACTTCAGATGAGGTTTAGTTTCCATAACAAATTTTGAGAAATCATTTTTACAGAGAGGGAAGGATGTGAACAATGTTGACAATTAAATTATGGAAACCAGTGTATACCAATTGAAATGGTTGATTACTTGACGGGAAAGGCTTTTACTAAAGTTTTACTTACAGCCCTAAAGTGATCCAAAGGCTGTTATGATTTGTAAAACATTATCTACAAAATGACTTGGGTCTATAATGTAAAGCAAAAGATCATCAGTCTAAAGGTATACTAAAGTCCAGTTCTGTGAATACAAGTGAAGAGTGAGGAGCATTTAAAAGAAATGGTAAGAGCTTCTATCACTGCAGCAAAGAGCAGGGGAAGAGTGAGCCACCTGGTTGGGTCGATTGACAGAACATATGTAGGATGCCGGCATAAGCCTTCTATTGGCAACTCATTTTCTTTGCTATTAACACCAACAACAACTTCTGGGCAGCAACATACCACACTGAAAAGTTTTGCAGAGAATTTGGATTGTGCAGTAAGGCAGCCCTGCTGTTTTTTGGTTGTTTTTTTTTTTTAAAAAGTGGCTTGTCCCATTTAATTACAGCGCTCGTCTCCCTGCGTGCAAACTTTCCACCAAAGCAATTCCACCTGTCCCTATTTTTAAGGGAACACCAAGCTGTATCATTTGCTTAGTCTTACCCACAACAACTGTGATCGGTTTCAAGAAAACAGTTCCCTCTATAAGCAGAATGATAGTGAGGTGCAGCCTGACCATTATGTTCTACAGAATGAGCTGGCAAAGCAAGACTATCACACAAGCAGTGGAGACAGAATGTAAAAGTTGTGTCCAAGAAATAAATTTAGACCAAATTCCCCCAAAACAGAGCCAAATAATTTCAATCAGCCTGATCAAAGGCTTTTCCGCATCCAGTGATATAATAATTTCAGCAGCCTGAGAGGTGTCAGAAGAAAACCCAATATTTAACAGTCTTGTTATATTAGATGATAATGTTTGTTGACAAACCCTGTTTGATCTCCAGAAATTATATCTGTCAGGCAAGGATCCAGATTGAATGCCAAGATCTTGGCTAGAAGCTTTACATCTGCATTTGACAAGCTTATGGGTCTCTCGCTGCTGCAATCTCAGTGGTTCTTATCTTTCTTGAGAATAAGCAAAATTGAGGCTTGATTTAAAGTTGTGTGGATGGAACATCTTTTCGAGGAATCATTAAACATGTCTAATAATCAAGAGGATATTAAACTGGACAAGTGCTGGTGCTTTTTCATTTTGCATTAAGGCAAGTGGGTATTTCCTCTAACTGAAAAGTTTTAAGTACTTACTATTACACAGTGTTCAGATTTATAGAGATTAGAGTAAAAGGAAGTGAAGACAAAGTTATTTTCAGTTGCATCTCTAGTTAGGAAGTGGCAGGAGTCACAGACTTGAGATATAAAGTAAGAAGCTGACTGATGTTTAAGCTGAAGTGCTAAGTGGCAGCTGCCGTTACCGCCATATTCATAATCAGGGAATTATTGTTAGATCGCCAAATATTCTCACACTTTATTTTAGCCACAAAATGTATAATAGAATTGATGTAGGAAACACTCCAATAATGTTTTTTTTTTTTTGTCCCCCACCCACAGAAATTTGTTCTGAAACTAGAAACAAGCCTACATTTCTCAGAGTGGTGTGATTTTCACTTTGCCTTGTATTTCCTATTGGTCTCATTCCCTTCTGTAGCTGCTCTGACAGTTATTTATGACACATTTATCACCATTAAAACTGGAGGTCTAATCCGACTATGGAATAAACTAACTTCTCAACCTTCAATATTGTTATTTCTGAGCTATAGGGGTCAGTCAGTTGCTGTTTTTGTTTGACCTGACGCTCCAGGCCAATACATTGCACCTGCGTTGATATAGCTGAATGCAGTATGTCTGGTATTTTAAACTTTATTGCATCTGATGATGAATGAATAAATGAAAAATGTAATTACAGTACAAGCTGGCTAGTAAAACATCTTGGCAGGTTCATTTTTCAGATAACTCTTCAGGTAAAGTGAGCCAAAACTTTAATGTTGGGTGCTGTTTATAATAAACAGATCATTTATTTTGTTTTTGAAGCATTCGCTTTGTGCGCACACTTGCACTAATTTTTTCATTTGTGAAGCAGATTGTTTAGTCATAGAGCAGAGCGACCTGGTTATTCATCAGATGGCCTGATACTGTCAAAAGCAACTTTTTGAAAGATGAAGGTCTTTGAACGTGTGAAGTGTCGAAATGAAAGGGGCCCTTGTGGCGGGATGACCTCACCATGTCCTGCCTGTTGTCCGGCAGGTCCCAGGACTTCTGCTGTGAGACGTGTGGCTGCTCCATGCGCTCCGCCCTCCTGGCTCTGACCCCCAACAGCAACCCCAGTGCCGAGGATCACAAGGCTAAAGAACTGGCTCAGCAAATAAACTTCAAGGTACAAACACTGGCAGTGGCATGAGGCACGTTTGATTCACAGTTCAGTCAGCCATTTAACCCTCAGAGCAAAAAGAGCTTCTGACAGCACAGGCTTCAGACGGATGTCTGCTGCTGTTTTCTTTTCTCTCTCTCTCTGCACTCACAGCCAAAAACAGATGATTTTCTCTTTTCTGTGACATGTTGGTTAAGGCTGGACCATAAACCATTTAAATGAACCCATCACAATTTTCAATAAATTGTCCAGAGTTAAATCAAGGACACTCAACCTCCTCTAGTAGTGTCCAGGGCTTTATTTATCAAAACTGCAGTAAGCACCAGGCCAGAAAAACTGTTATATAACTTGAAAGTTCATTATTGAGCATGAAAACGGTAATCTCAGTGCTATCTTCTTCAAGTAGCTGTTCTGAAATACTAAAATCAATAAATAATTTAAGAAATACCTGCTGAGATGTTTCACATTAAAACCATTCAAGCATCCCAAGGGGCGCAGTCCTTCCTTTTTTCCTTTTGCTTTTAGTTAGAGAAAATGAGAATTCACATTGAATAAAGTTGAACCATCTTGACCTCAAAAAATGACTCAAATAAGTTCACCAAATATTCTGTCAATCCCCTTGTTACCACTGACTACCAGCTGGGTTGCATTCCAGCTCCATTGTGGCTGATGAGACAGTCCGCTGTATTTTAATAAGCAAGGCCCACTTATTAACCATTCGGCAGCCTCCATTTATATCATATCTTTATGAGCAGATGAAGTTTGCCCAGTTGTCCACTTCTTTTGGGGGCTCCATGGACTTCTCATGGATGTTGACGAAAAGCTGCAAGTTCATCCTATATCTTTGAAACAGCAGCTGATAAAACACTTTAACTACAATACAGAATAAGTAGCTGTTCTGATTTACACATACTACTATACTGGTATTTGCTGCGTAGTTTTCATGCTCTGTTTAGCTTCTGTCAAAGGAATTTGACAATTCCTGCAGAGCCTTTTCACTGCTTTTTTGTGCCTCCTTTTTTTGTTTGCTTTTTTTGAAACTACCAACTGCAGCTAAACATACATTGAATTAAATAGAAATAAGAAATGATAGGAAATATCAGAACAACAGAATGGTGAGTATGAGTATCCCATCCCCTTGCGAACATGCAAATGTTTCCACGCTAACACCAGAAACTAAGGCACTAAACATATTGAACAGCAGGTCTGCTACCATGCTAAAATCACTATATGTTAGCAAGCTGATTATGGCATGAATAGTATGTATAGCTATGTTAGCAGTGTGGCTCTGGATATAAATGTCTGTCATTTTCTATCAGCCTCAGCTGTACGTCGTATTTAGTGCTTCAAAACCGGTGCAGTGAAATGTTAGTTAACATGACAATCTGAGACAGTGAACAATCACACATGGCTAATCAGGTGTTTAATGCTGGGATCACTTTGCTAATGTGTTGACATTAGCATGGTAGCAGGTATAATATTCATTATGTTCAGTGTATTAGCTTATTGTGTTGGCATGCTATCATTGGCTGAATAGCATCAAACACACAGAACAGCTGAGGCTGATGGGCATCAGTATTTTTAATGCAGAAAAATGTGGCAAAATCTGAGTTTAAAACTGTTAGCATGCTAACACAGGTGGAGAAACAGTAAAAATTAAAAGATGGAGCTGACAAAGAAAGAAAAAGCAGCACAAAGAGATAGATTTTTAACAAAGTAGCATATTTTATCAGCATCTCATATAATTTGTTTCCCAAATTGTTGTAACTTGGTCACTCGAAATAAAACCAAGAATATTTGCCTCTGAATTTTCCCTCTGAAATGTAGTAGAGTGTCAAGTGTCATGAAAAGACATACATACACGTGGACAAAATTGTTGGTACCCCTCGGTTAATGAAAGAAAACCCCACAACGGTCACAGAAATAGCTTGAATCTGACAAAAGCAATAATAAATTAAAATTCTATGAAAATTAACCAATGAAAATAAGACATTGCTTTTGAATCGTGGTTCAACAGAATTATTTAAAAAATAAACTCATGAAACAGGCTTGGACAAATATGATGGTAGCCCTAGAAAAGACTGAAAATAATGTGACCATAGGGACATGTTCAATCAAGGTATGTCCTCCAATTAGCATCACAGGTGTCTACAAACTTGTAATCAGTCAGTCGGCCTATTTCTAGGGTTACAAGTAGTCACTGTGCGGTTTGGTGACATGGTGTGTACCACACTAAACATGGACCAGAGGAAGCCAAGGAGAGAGTTATCTCAGGAGATTATAAAGAAAATTATAGACAATCATGTTAAAGGTAAAGGCTATAAGACCATCTCCAAGCAGCTTGGTGTTCCTGTAACTACAGTTTCACAGATTATTCAGAAATTTAAGAGTGCATCCATGATAGGACCAGGTGGGGGTGGCACAAGCCATCTCACCGATTTCAATGAAACTTAGCCAATTTAAAGGGGTCCACCCAAAACTACTTCAGTCTAAGTTTAAGGAAATTTGGTCAAACTGGGGGGATTTCACCACCCCTCCTTGTTTTTTTTGCAAAAATGACCAAAAATCGGCTAAAAAAATGGTCAGATGTATAAAGCTCTACTGCTATAAGAATTCAGCCAAATCTTTTCATATATTCAGTTCTTATCAGTTATCCAAATTTGTAATCGGCAACAAAGAGCGGGCTCACGAGAAACTAGTTTACAGTGGGCAGTGAGCGATAAAGACAGAAGAGAAGGCACATGATTCCTACCTCAATCGTTCCATCTCCTGCTTTAGTGATGGCCACCGATAGATGCCAGGACTTCCCTTCTTTCCAAACCAGTCGTGCTGCGTTTCCC